GGAACCTTGGGAGGGGACAAATCTACAACAATGAATGAATGAAAATCCAAAGCCTCTGTAAATTTTCACTGAAATTAATAACAAATTTAAATTTAAAAAAAAAAGAATTAAGTTAGAGTAAGGATGGCAATGGAACCACCTTACCTCTGTAACTTGATTTGTGCCACTATTAGAAGAAAAAAAAGAGAAATTACTTTTTTAACTATGAAAGCAACCCCATTTTTCCTCACCTTTTCGTCTCCATCACAGTAGATCATACGATCCTCTAATTCAAAATGTCCCATGCCAGTCTATCTCATCTCCCCAATACTTCCTATGTCAATATTTATGTGTTCCTTTTCCCTCTTAACAAATACCCAATTTTCCTACATTCATGGCTCTTACATTCCATATTCCAATCACTAGTGTCTGCTTACAGCTGTTCCTCCATTTGTTCCCATACTTGAGGGCTCAGCCTCAGTTACCATATTGCTAGTCTAAGTGTGCTCTGTTGTACAAAGGGTATACAGAGGCCTACTATTTCGAAAGTGGTTGGCCAATCCTTCTTCCTAGTCTATCTTAATTAGATTGCTCAGATTTAGAACATTATCTGACAGAGAAGCATTTTACAGAGAAGAGCAACTGTTCATAAGAGTACTATGAGTCATAGTCAACTCAATGGCACATAACAATAACAGGACAAAAGATCCTAGAGCAGATAAGACAGATTCTTTGCTTTCTAACTGTTGTCTTTATATGAGTATAGAAGTGTTTCTTTTTGATAGTGTTAAATTTAAGTGTCAAATGAGCTCTGGTGGCCTAATGGCAAGAAGCTGCACTGCAGTCCCAGAAGTATGTAGTTCAAATCCACCAGATCCACTGCTGGAGAAGGAGGGGCAATCTTCTGTACCAGTCAGATCTGATTTGATGGTACACACAAAAAATAATAAAATAAAATTTAAAAAATTTAAGTTTCAAGTAATATGTGAAACCTTTTTTCACATTCTTCTCAAGAGGGTTGAAAAGCTAGTAGGCTAGATCATAGAGTAATAAAACATAACATTTTTCTTTTAAAAATTTTAAATGTGTGTGCAGAGTTAAAATGCTGTTGTACATTTGTAATTTATTAAAATAATTCTAAAGGGGGAAAATATTTACAGCCTTGGAAACCCAGTAGGGCAATTGTACTCTGCTCTTATGAGTCCTTATGTGTCCCTATGAGTTGGAATTCAACTTGACAGTAATGGGCTTTTGGAGTTTAGAAGTAAAATAGCACAGGAACAAAAGTAACATTTGAATATATGTTCATTTTCAGTTTACTGTACTTTTGTCTCCTCTCAACAACTATATATGCCTCAGACTTTAATCAGTCCATATTTTACCAGTAATCCTCTCTGTGATCTGGTGGAGTTCAGTTAACCATCTGCATGTGAAATTGATCTAAAAATCTTTTGACTGTAAAATTCCATTGCACATAATTTGACCTTACCCCATACTTGGATGAAATCCTAGATTCTACCCATTAGTCAAACAGTGCATATATCACACCTAAATAAATCTCTTTTAAAAAAAAATCTGAAGAGGAATCGGTATGTAAAGTCATTACATTTAAAATTTGCCTTTTTTCTTTCTTTCTTTTTTTTTTTTTAGTGTTCGAAAGAATCCTCAAACCAAGAAAATACAAATTACATCTTCTGTCTTTAAAGTTATAGCATATGTAAGTGTTGGGGAAGTATTTGCAATGGATTTTTTGTTGTAGTCAGCAAGTACGAAAATATTAACTCTAAGAAAAAAGAATATGACACTAGTTTTCTTAAAATTAAAATTTTATAGGTTCTAGAGATTTTCTTGTGGGAGTGGGGATGTGTGGAGTTTTCCCCCGGCCACCTTTTCTGTTGTCTGTTTCAAAAAATATTTCCTACATTTTAGAACTAGATCTGTAATTCAACTGGTTAAAAACTGCAGTTTTCTATCAAATTTTACTTCTAAACCCCATAATCCTTAAGGCAGATAAATAAGACCTCTATAAATGCCTTTATATTATAAAACCAAGCATTTTCATTTTAATATCATACTATACTGTGCTGGAGGAGACTATTGAACATACCAGGGACTTCCAAGAAAACTAACAAGACTGTCCTGGAGAGGGTAAAACTCATGGGCTCTTTGGAGGCAAGGATTTTGAGACTCTGTCTCACATACTTTGGACATGTAGCCAGGAGAGACCAATCTTTGGAGAAGGATATTATGCTTGGAAATGTCAAGGAACAGTGCAGGAGAGGAAGACCCTGGATAAGGCGGGTTGACTCAGTAACTGGGTTAATGAGAGTAAGTGTGTCAGGGACAGTGAGATTGGCTCAGAAATAGAGCAGGCTTCAGAGCATAGGGTTGCTCTGAGTTGTAATTGACTCAACAGCAAATAACAACAAAAACAACATGCTGTGCTAAGACATGGTGATAAACAAAAGAAATATAGTGTCTGTTCTCATGATGTATGTGAGCCATGTTCCAAAAAGAAAAAAATTGCAATATGGACATTTTGTAATATTAATACTTTAAATGTACTTTTAAAAGGATGACATTTCTCTTTCAACTATAATTTTTTTAGAGACAAGAAGTATCCATGTATGCATAGTAGACATGTACTGTTAGTATGCTATGTTCTACTTATTAAATATAGTAGAGTTGTTTCCAACTCATAGCTGTGTTGTGTAATACAGAACAAAAACACTGCCAGATCCTGCACCATTCTCACAGTCTCTGCTGTGCTTAAATGCACTGCTGCCAATATCAGTCCCTCTCATTAAGGATCTTCTCTTTGTCACTGGCCCTCTGCTTCACTCACTATGATACTTAGTACAGGAACTGACCCCTCCTGATTATCTGCTTAAAGTATGTTAGAAAAATATCATGCTATTTATATTTAATCTTGGTTAGTTCCCAATTTATTGTCAAAAGTTCTGGTTTGTTTTAGGGTATTGGGGGGTTTTTTTAGTTATCAAATGTTTTGTGTATGTATGTCTTGAGATATTTTTACAGAAAATAGTCAATTGTCAAATATGTCATCATTTAATTGTAGCTGAATACTAAGTAATTTAGGCTTGTCTTTTTCAGGATTCTGCTGGTATATGCTACCCTTCAACTAAGAGTCATGAACAGACATTTTCCTACTTTGTTGTGGACCCCATCAAACGTCATGTGAATGTTCTATACCACTGTTATGGTGTGGGAGAAATGTCTTAAAAATGCTGTTTCAGATTATCTAAATCTACTATGCTTTTTTTAAAGTCATCTATTTTTAAAATTTTAATTCTTATTGATAGATAAGTATTTATCTTGCAACTTATCTAAGTAAAGTTGGCTTAAAGCAGTAGAAAGATGCTGTTATCTAAATTCTCTTAGGATACTAACACCAGAATCAATTTCTATCACTAATATAAACTATACCATACCAGTTCAAGGATTTTTTACAGAGTTACAAACTAGCAATCTAGTTCACATTTATTGCCTTAATACTCAAGCAAATCCTCTATTTTAAATATATTTTACTTTGGAAGCAAACTTAATTCTGGATTGAAATTGTACAAAAAAGCTAAATACTTCTACTATACAGTATTTACTTTTTCTAAAAAAAAGTTTTATTTTATTCTGTTTTTTTACTTATGGGTTTTTTTAGTTTCAAATGGTTTTTCTAAGCCTTGTCATATTTTTAACTTTTAAAACTTGAATTTTATTTAATTATATTTCTTCTTTGCATAAAGATGTATCTATAAAGCTGTGAAAAAAGTACAGTAATTTTTGATACATTATGTACTGAAAAGTCTTAATTAATAAAAAAGGTTCTGAAAGTAATTATAAAATATAAGAGCTGTTCTGCTACTATTTTTACATTTGCACAAGAACAAGGAACAGTGTCTCTTAATACTGTCCTTTCATTACATTTGTAGAACAAAGTTATAACTTGGCTTTTTTAATTGAAAAAGTGATTGGCATGTATCCCATTCACAAGCAAGTGTGAGATTTATATTTTGCATCGCAGGCGACTCGACGGCACATAACAACAACAACAAGGTTAAGGATGACAATTTTGGATTTTAACTTGAGGCTATACTTGGAAAATAGTGATTTGAGCATAAATCTCAAGAGATAATTTGATAGGTATATACTTGAGAGATGAGTGGAAATCTCAAACTATAAAAGCAAGTGTACAAAAAGTCATTGTCACAATGTTTATATAAAAATGCCCATTGTCATGGAGTTGATTCAAACTCCCATAAACCTCACATATTACCAAGTGAACTGCTCCATAGGGTTTCCTTGACCATTATCTTTATAAAAGTATATTGCTAAGTCTTTATTTTATGGTGCCATTGTATGAATTCAGATTGCCCACCGTTAGATTAATGTTTTTTGCCATTGAGTTGCTTGCAATTCATAGTTATCTTGTGTATGTACAGCAAATTTAAACCCTGCCCTCTCTCGAGCCAACTTCATTGTCTCCAACACATCTAACCCATTATCCTAGTCATTGAGTCAATCCTTCTTATCCAAAGTCTTCCTCTCTTGTACTGTCCCTTCATCCTTTCAAGGATGATGTCCTTCTCCACGGATTGGTCCCTCCTGGAAACATGCCTAAAATATGTGAGAAAGAGACTTTCAAAATCCTTTGCCTCCAAGGAATAGCCTGTTTTCATCCTCTCCAGCATAGACTGGTTTGTTCTCTTAGCAGTCCATGGTAAATAACTCTTCTCCAGCACCACAACTCAAAGGCCTCGATTCTACTTCTATCATCCTTAGTCATTGTGCAACTCTGATGCATAGCAACTAATTACAAAGACCATGTCTTGGACCAGGTGCATCTTAGTCTCTTGACTGACATCATTGCTCTTCAGTACTCTGGAGAGGGCCCTAGAAGCAGATTTTCCCAGTGCAATTTGTCTTTTGATTTTCTAACTGTAGGTGCCAAGACTATTGATTGTGGAACCAACCAGGTGAAGCTCTTAACAATCTCAATCTCTTCTTTATCTATCATAATACTGCCAATTGGCCCAGTAGTGAGAATCTTTGTTTTCTTGATGTTAAGCTTCAAGCCACATTGAAGGCTACAGTTCTTGACCTTCTGCAGCAAATGCCTCAGGTCCTTCTCAGTTTCAGCAAGCAAGATCGTGTTATCTGTGTAATGCAGCTTTTGATGAGTCACGCTCCGATCCTGATGCCACGTTACTCCTCATAAAGTCTAGCTTCCCAGATGATCTTTTCTGCATATAGATTGAAAAGCTATGGAGATAGGATGCATCCCTAGTGTTCACCTTTCCTGATTTTGAACTATGCAGTGTTTCTTTGCTCTGTTCTAAAGATTGCCTCCTGGTCCAAGTAAAGGTTTTGTGTAAGCACAATTATGTGTTCTGGAATTCCCATTCTTCTCAAAGTTAGCCACAATTTGTTACAATCCACACAGGCAAATGCCTTTGCACAATCAATAAAGTACAGATAGAGATTCCTCTGGTACTCTCTCTGCTTTCAGCTAAGATCCATCTAACATTGGGTATGATGTCCCTAGTGCCATGACCTCTTCTAAAACCACCCTGCACATCTGACAGTTCTCTGTTCTTAATTGATTTTGCATGATCTACAGCAGGATCTTGCTTGCATGTAATATTAATGATGTTATTGTTGTTGTTATGTGCCATCGAGTCACTTGTGACTCATAGCAACCCTCTATGTACAAAAGCTCTATATGCTCTTCTATCCTGTGCCAACCTGGCCATCTCAAACGCACTTATTCCAACCTCTCCAGTCACAGAATCGATCCATCTCATCAAAGGTCTTCCTCTCCTCCGCCGCCCCTCCACTCTGCCAAACATGATGTCCCTCTCCAAGGACCAGTCCTTCCTTGCAACATGCCCAAAATATGTCAGACGAAGCTTCAGAATCATTGACTACAGAGAACATTCTGGCTTCACCCTCTCCAGGACAAACCTGTTTGTTCTCCTAGCTCCATGGTATATTCAACACTCTTCTCCAGCACCACAGCTCAAAGGCAGCAATTCTCTTTCTATCAACCCTATTCACTGTCCAACTCTCTGATGCATAGCACGTAATTGCAAAGATTATAGCCTGGATCAGGCGCACCATAGTCTCCAGTCTGACATTGTTGCTCTTCAGTATTCTTGAGAGGTCCCTCACAGCTGACTTTTCCAATGCAATTTGTCTCCTGATTTCCTGGCTGCTGTTACCAAGAATGTCGACTGTGAAGCCAAATAAAACTGTTAACTATCTCAATCTCTTCACCATCCATACTGATGCTGCCAGTTGGCCCAGTGGTGAGAATCTTTGTTTTCTTGATGTTGAGCTTCAGTCCATATGGGAGGCTGTAGTCCTTGATCTTCTGCAGCAAGCATTTCAGCTCCTCCTCAGTTTCAGCAAGCAGGGTTGTGTCATCTACATAACGCAGGTTGTTGATGATTCTTCCACCAATCCTGATGCCACATTCCTCTTCTTATAGCCCAGCGTCTTGGATGATCTCTTCTGCATACAGATTCAAAAGGTATGGAGACAGACTACATCGCTGGCGAACCTCCTTCTTGATTTTGAACCATGTAGTGTCTCCTTGCTCTGTTCTAACAACTGCCTCTTGGTACAAGTATAAGTTTCGCATTAGCACAATCAAATGTTCTGGGATTCCCACTCTTCTCAGAGTCAGCCACAGCTTATTGTGATCCACACAGTCAAAAGCTTTTGCGTAGTCAATGAAGCACAGATAGACATTCTTCTGGTATTCTTTGCTTTCTGCTAAGATCCATCTAACATTAGCTATAATATCCCTAGTACCACGACCTCTTCTAAATCTAGCCTGTACATCTGGCAGTTCTCTGCTGACATACTGTTCCAAACGTTTTTGTATCATTTTCAGCAGAATCTTGCTTGTATGTGACATCAATGATATTGTTCGATAATTTCCACACTCTGTTGGGTCACCTTTCTTTAGAATGGGAACAAATATCGATCTTTTCCAGTCAGTGGGCAAGCTGGCTTTTCTCCAGATTTCTTGGCACAATTTAGTGAGCACATTCAGGGCAGTGTCTGTTTGTTGAAATATGTCAATTGGTATGCCGTCAACTCTTGGAGCCTTCTTTTTTGTTAATTCCTTCAGAGCAATTTGAACTTCCTCCTTCGTCACCATAGGCTCTTGCTCATATGTCATTTCATGAAATTCTTCTGTGTCAGCCAATTCCTTCTGGTATAGTGACTCTGTGTATTCCTTCCATCTTCTCTTGATACTTCCTGGATCATTTAATATTCTGCCCAAAGTATCCTTAAGTATTGCCACC